ATTGGTCCTCAACAAATAAAAGGTGACTGTCTCCTAGGGCCTTCCCAAACAAGCCTGTCCAGGACATCTCTGGTCCAGCTCCTAGCTCTTCATTTTCCTTCCAAACATTCTATTTTTATTATGTTCACTGCTTCCCTTTTGAGGATGTCAGCACATGAAAGCGAGGTCTGTCTTTTTCAGTTCTCTACTGCCTCTCCTGAACACTGCTTGCTTGGCACATGGTTGTTATTGTTATGTGCCGTCAAGTTGGACCCAATTCAGAGTGACCCCTCCTTGGGTTTCCAAGGCAGTATCACTACGGAAGTGGATTGCTCAACCTTCCTTCCCAGGAGTGGCTGGTGGGTTTGAACCCCCAGCCTTCTGGTTAGCCGTTCAAGTGCCCTAGGCTCTATGCTACCAGAGCGGCACATGGTACACAAGAATTTACTGAAACAATGAATAAATGTTTCCATGTCTGTCTTGCCTCCTAAAGTTCCCTGAGTGTGGAGCTAGTATTTTATTCACCTTTGTGGTCCCAAAGTCAAATGCTCAACTACTGATACAATTTGCTGATATATAACCAAAGAAGGGAAAAAGCTACAGTCCCTATTATATAAATTGAAATAACTGCATTCAAAAGGCAAAGTACTTTAAAATGTTTATTTTTCATTACATACTTTATACTGAACATGTCAAGAAAGAAAATAATTATAATGAGTTCAAAATGCCATTCCTGAACTTAATAAATATCCTGTATTAATTACACCCAATCAGTATCTAGAAATGTATATAGACACTAAGTCAATTCATCAGTGGAATAAGTAAAATAACTATGTAAACATGATCTCAGGGACAGGGGTCACGCATGATCAGTTAAGTCACTTTGCTACCATAAGTGTTTTCTTCAAAACATGATTCACATTTGTGTCAATCATATGCACATCCATCGCAAGAATTTAATTAGACCGCTGATGCCACCAACTTAAAACAATGACCTCTGTTACCTTAAAAGAAAATACCATTTCATATAAAGAAATTTAAGAAGACAATTCCAGGACGTTGATCAGAAACTTTAAACGTGAGTTGCACTACTCTTGTGTACATCACAGTTCAAGTAAGGCTAAGACAGAAGTGTGTTTCTTTGTCCCATGGAAGACATGACTCGAGAAGGAGGTGAGACATTCTAAGTAGCCACCAAGATGTGAAAACTAAGAGACTCCTCACGTGAGTAGCTAACCAAGTGTAAAAAGCCTTTGCCAGTGTTACAAAGACAAGCTGTGTAGAGCAGTATTTACGAACACAAGCACAATTTTCTTTTTCTGCCTTCTATAAA